ACATATTATAATAATAATAGATTATAAAATTACTTGTGACAGAAAATGTTGAGCTTTCGGCATAACATTTTTGAAAACTTGCTTGTCAAGCGATTCAACTGTATATCTGGAGAGACATTGCTCCAACATTTGTAGCAAGCACTCCGTATTGAGAGCAAGATCTTCGTTTTCCAGTAACGCTTAACGATTGAAAAAAGCATTAAGGATTAATCATCTTGATGGGATATTATTATATCAAAAAAAGACTATGTAAGTATATATATATATATATATATATATATATATATANATTAGTTAATTATATACATATTAAGCGTAATTTTAAAGAGAAAATATAATATCAAAAAATTTCTCATGTTTAAGATTATTTTCATATTTTTCAAGATTAACATTTTCTTTAAGTAAAAAGATTTCAATTTTTTTTACATTTTATAACTCTGATACTAAAATTAATTAATTTTGTATAATGTAAAATTCTTGCAACGTAATTAACTTTTTAAAATTATGTAAATTATATCACATTAACATCTTGTTGTAGTTTTAAATTTAAAGTTTTATTTGAGTATACTGTTTCTAGTGAATCATCTTGTATATTAAAAGGATATTTGTAACTTGCACACTTGGCTGTCTATATCGACCAATTCGAAGGAATCTTTTTCGAGCTGGTAGCTGGAAGCTTCGCTGAAAGTGATTGTATGACTAGGTGATGACATCCTTCTGTGCAACCTATTCTAGAATATAAAATAATATATAAAAAATAAATTAATACAAACAAATATTTATTTCCTATTATCGATTAACTACCTCAGAGTATAAATACCTCAGAGAAAAACTATTACTAACTTTTTACATTTAATAATTCTTTTTTATTCTATTAGTCTAAGTATTTCTCCTATTATTTTCAAATATTCTATATATTTGAATAATTATTACTTAAATAGTATTGATATTTAAACTGCTATTAAACAGATTTAAATACAATTTATGGATTTAATTTATTGATTAATTAATAGTATAGTAGATAAAATATACTATATATAATAGTTCAAACTATTCGCCAGTAGCGAATATTTTCGCAATAGTTCCAATGCGAAGATCGATCAACGGGGGAGTTGTAATCAGACCTCTCCCCTCCCGATCGTGAATAATAGGTAAAACCGGAGCAAATCGAAAATTTCTTGGCAATGCTCGAGGTTGCCGAAGTTTGCTGATAAGGACGTCAATTAAGGCAGCTCCAAGCTGTCTAATCGCCGATTTGCCAAAACTTTCTGTCTGCAATTTCTGCGCTATCGCCGACAAGCGAGATTGTAACCCACTTCTCAAGAGGATTTAACCGATCGAATCGATGCAAAGTCGATCTGTTGAAATTCCCCCTCAACCCTCATCCTTTAACCCTTTAATTATCACGAGTGTTTTTATACGTTCGTCAGATTGCAATTTTTTAAATGATGCGGACAAAATTAAAAGTAAGAATTACTGAAACGAGAGTATTGCGATCAATATTAATAGAATAAAAAAGAATCGGACACATCAATTGGAGAGACTTTTAAAATCCTATAAGTATAGTGAAATGAATAAAAAAAAAGATTGAAACGACCATAGAAAATTAGCGCATATTTGCAAAAATTAATAGGGAGAAGACACCCTGAACATTAAACTAGTTCTTTTTGTCAATGCAACAAGACCGTACAAACAGAAAGAAATCCGATCAGAAGAGAGAGAAGGAAAAGGAAAGATAATCGCGGGGTGTCGAGCAGTTGGAGGGTAAACGAGCGAGAAAAGAAGCCGATCCCAGCCAGGAATTGGAATGATCGAGCCGTCGACTTGCCATGGCAACTGCGGACAACAAGCTGTCAGATGATGGGCAGAGTTTTGATCAATAATACCGGCAGTGACTGGCTGCCTGTGCCGGCGATTCTCGAATTCGATATACGGAGTCGCGCGAACGGTGATTTCGACGACTCCAAACAACAGCACGTGGCCGCTGGGTTGTAGTAAGGACAGGGGGTGGTAAAGGGGTTAAGAGAGGGTGGTTCCGACACGTGACCACGCGAGCGATGTGTACCAGGCTGAGTCACGGAGGATGGATTTGAGCGATGTGATTTTCGATCGAGAGATGCTAATTTTTCGTCCCTGAATCACGAATTCGAGCCACCAAAAGCGGCCCTGGCTACTGATTGCAATACCGACGTTTCGTTATTTCGATATCTATCGAAAAAGTCTGATTTATTAAGTCCATGTGATATCCGAACATTATATTCAAAATAAAACAGAATAAATAACGAAATAAATCTCCACAAGGATTAAAGTTTGCTATTGATATAAGAATTATCTTCATTTAAATTCCCTTCAATTATCTTATATTTCTTACTTTAATAATGCGGAAAAATAGATAATTATTCGCTCAAGAAAGAGAAATATATATTATAATCACAATAAAGCTTTTTTTTATCCGTCCATTCTTTTGTTGAGATTTAAAAGCTATTCACGCTTTTCCAATAAAATAATTCTCATTAATAATATGCAATAACACAGATAAAAAATTAATTCAAAATGATGTAATTAATAAAATAGTTTCACTCACAATATAATATCCCTTCTAAAGATATTAAACAAATAATTTGTTTTTTATTTTTCCGCATCATTAAAAACAACGAAAATATTTCAACTACACAAATTAAAACATTTTGTATGTTTGCATATATGCAGATATCGTGATGTTACATCACCATGGCCTCGAGGGCAGCGTGTACGAAGTCAGCGAGGAGTTCGACCACCCTGGCAGCGCTGACAGTGATCGTAATGACGGGGGTTAATGGTACTAGTACAATCATAGTATTAGTGTGTTGGCCACCGTTCAAAGCAAAGAGAGAAAGAAGGAAAGGGACAGAGAGATAGCGATACATCTGTGCTTGACAGGTGTGTTGGTAAACCGGGCTTGGATTTGGTACACATCGGAGGGTGGGTGGAGGGTGATGGCAATAGATGAAGGCAGTCAGTCAGTCAGTCGGCGCCCGGCCGCGGCGTCGACAACGTTCCTCGCTCTTCGCACTCTTCGCTCGAGGATCGAAAACTAAAAGAGAACCTCGAGTACATGTTTGTAAAATAAGTAAGTATATTTACGCGCACTTTTGAAAGCGTCTGTATAAGTTTTCGCGCGTAGGATTAGTCATAGTTTGGCAAATTTGCGACAAGTTATACGCCTATCTTTTTAAGTTACAAGTCCTTAGGACACAGGCTTATAGTAAGCTTATAGTTTTAATGAGAGAGAGATTCTTTTCCTTTTAAAAATATTTTAGAGTTGTTGCATTATATATAACTGCTATTCTTCAGATGATACATTTAATTTAATAATGTTATTGGCAGATAACAACATTTTAATGGAGTGAAAGTACTTTATATTAGATGAGGAAATGATATATCAACTAAATAACAAATTAATCAATCAATAAGTTCTACTGGAAGAGCGATTCTGGCGATTCTGTCGAGAAGATGCATTGACAATGTAAAAACGATTGCTCGGAAATGTCTAGCGGTAGAAGAGCGACACGACCCGTCAGACAGCTGTCATTGCAACAGCCTGCACCGCGTCGACAGCACATCAAACGACAGAAATCAGCGGAGGATGATTGCAACAAGTCTTTGCAGATCTATGCAAATCCGATCGCACGTGACAGACTAGCTACAAATGTGACAGACAAGCCTAAGGTGCGATTGTTGAGGAATCCCTTGCTTACTTAATCGTTAGAACACCGTGTTCGTCGTTACTTCACCATCTGAAAAATTAATTAATATTAAAATTATATTTAATATATTTTATATATTACTTATAATCATATTATTATTATTACATATCTGTATCTATTATAACTATGGCAGGTGCGAGTCGCTTGGGGCGACGATCGTCACGAATGCGATGGTCTGTCCCAAGTGGAGGTGGTTGCTCGACAGATTCCGAGCCGATCCAGACCCACCACGGGCCGATCTGGCAGGACTTATGCCACCACGGAGAAGGCGTCGATTCTCTATTCGCGGCAGGAGCTCGCCGAGAGGCTGCGGCTCGCGTGGAAGCATCGCGAGCAGAACAAAGCGAACATTGACATTTTCTTGGCACATAACGTGGCCGTAGAGGAGCGCTGTGAATCTGAATTATCAATGTCCACTTCGCCAACTCCGCTCTCCGGAGAGGAGCCTGATTTTATGAAAAATGAAGAAAAAAGCTCGCGGAATCTGAAAATATCTGACAATTTAGAAGAGCGAGGAAAGAAAACGCGTGAAATCGATAACGGAGATAAAAGAGAATGCGAGAGGAAGCTGGAGGCTGCGTCTGGAATGATGGAAAACGATTTGTTGATAAAGAAAGATGAGAATGTGACGAAAGGGATGGAAAAAGAGAGAGGAGAGAACGAGGTATGCGCATTTATATAAATAATTATACATTTAAACAATATAATTATTTAATTTCTACGATTGCTGATATCGATTTTGTTTCATATTTTATTATTTTTTTTAGCAGTTAATGAAATCTTGTAAATTTAATATAGCGTCACACATTTTTGGTCCTTTCAACTTAATATTTAAAATATACAAGATAAATTTTTTTTTACACAAATTCAAAAATATGAAGAATGATAGAACCTTTCTAAAATTTTTTGAAAGAAAAGAATTTAGTTTTTATTAATATTATTATCTCTATATTATATAATAGATTTTTTTTCCAAGATAAATAAATAACAGCATTACTTTCTATAAAAAAAAAAAAATTATGAAATAAATTCAGTCGGGGAATATTATCGATCTTTTCAGAGAACGACAAACACGCAAACTAACTCGGATGTCGAGGAGAAAAAAAAGAAGACGAAGATAAACATTGATTGCACGAGCCTTCATCTTCCGATGAACGATCAGTTACATCCTTCAATCACCTTTCCGTCCTTAAAACCGGAAAACGCAGAACCAGCGAAAAACAATGACAATTTCTCGTCGGCGAGGCAAAAACGCGCTAGTTTTCAGAGCGGTGCCAACCGTGCCTTTCTGATACCGATGGCGGAGAAAACTCCGAAGGAGATCACGGAAGGGAAGGATAAAATCGCATCGACGAAATCGATTGAGATCAGATGCGCTTCGGCCGCGACGAGATCGCCAATCGACAAAGGCATCATCCTCGCGAAAAATTCGTCCACGACGAACTTGGAAAAAACGAGGAGAACAAATTCCGCGCCGCCACAAAGACGTAATCTGGGACCTGCTGCACCTGGGACCCGCGTTCAAGTAAATATCGTGATCGACGCGCCTGGTCTTACCGAAGCCACGGATAAGTCGATCGTTTGCGGAAAAATGCAGAGTGAAAAAGACGCTGTGGAAAAAATCGAGGAAGGTTCGATGAAGGTAGGAGGTAGCCCGTGTTCTATCTAAGGTTCTGAAGAGTGCGTGCTTGAGAATTTATCGAGATCCATTTATCACTTTACGCACATTAACCAAGAATCGGTATATAAATTATAAATATATACAGAGATATAT